GACATGCTCTGAAAGACCCAAGGAAGGAAGCTTCTCTGAGGAAGGAACATGATAGCAGAGAGAAACTTAGAACTTTAGAAATAAAGGAAGAGAAGCAGAAAGAGCAAGTATAAATACAATATTTTCTCCTTTCCAAAGTGCATAAAGTACAAATGGATAGAACTAGAAGGAGGTATAGACAAGTGCATAACTATTGGTGGGGACTTCAACACTCCTCTCTAGTAAGTTATGGAACATCAAGCAAGAACACGGAAGACCTGAATGCTGCCATTGAACCTGATCTCATTGGCACACTTCACCCAACGACAGCCAAATACACATTCTCAACAAGTATCCATGGAATACTCACCAATGTAGACCATCTCTAGGGTCATAAGATAAAGGTGAACAAATGTAAAAGAATTAAAATCATACAAAGTATGTTTTCTGGCCACAACAGAATTAAACTAGAAATCAAAAACAGAAAGGTAGCTGGAAACCAGGGACTTATTTTGAAATTGACAGAAATATACTTCTAAATAATTGTGGATCCAAAAGAAACTCTCAAGGGAAATTAGAAGATATTTTGAAGTGGATGAAACTTACAACTGTGAAAAAAAAAAAAAGAAACTTACTTACAACTGTAATAGATTCAAGTTTGTAGCATGTAGCCAGCTCAGTGCCTATAAGGAAACCTATAGCCTTCAGGGTTTCTATTAGAAAAGGAAGAAGTCAAATAAAAAATCTGAGTTTTCAAACTTACGAAAATAAAAAAGAAGAGCAAACTATGCTCAAAGCAAGAAGAAAGTAGGAAGTAATAAAGAGGATAAACCAATAAACAGAAATTTGTTTCTATTACACAGAAAACAACAGAGCAAAATCAATAAAACAAAAAGATGATTCTTTGAAAATATCAAATGATAAATCTCTAGCTAAACAGATCAAAAAAAAGGGGAGAGAAAACATTACCTATCAAATATCAGAAATGAAAAAACAGATATCACTAAAGACCTACAGATATTAAAATAATATAAGGGAAGAGTATTTGGAAGAACTTTATTCCCATATATTTAACAACTTAGATGAAATGGACTAATATCCAAACAAGCACCAACTCCAAAAACTCATTCAAGAAGGAATAGAGACCCTGAATGACTGAACTATTAAGTTAATTAGATTCATAGTTAAAATCCTTCCAACAAAGGAAACCCAAGGACCTGATCAGTTCTTTGGTGAGTTATACCAAATACTTAAGAAAGAAATAACAATTCTATATAATCCAGAAAGTAGAGGAGAATTGGCATTCACGACTTTCAGCTTTTCTTAGGTCTTTCAAAGAACAACAACAAAAAAAAATTACTTATTTTCTTTATGGGATAAAACTCATTCTATCCTGCAATACACATGGACCCTCTTACATACATGGGTCTTAGTGATCTTGATTTCAATTTTACTAGATGGATTTAATTAGCTTAAGAAATGGTCAATCATTTACTCTTTAATTAATTATTTCCAACTATACTAAAGAGAGAGAGAGAGAGAGAGACTAAAGCAGTAAGAAGAAAACAGAAAACGAGGGAATCACCTAGCTGACGATATGATCTTGAAGCGAATCACTCCCCAGTTTTCTGATTGCACTGCTCAAAGTATAACAATCATTTTTCAAGAAGATAAAAGGAACACAGCAACACCTTCTTTGTAGTCTTATGTCAGTTTTCATCAAACACAACTAAAAATTCAGATTTCTTATTTCATGTTCAAATGGCAAAGGGAAGAAAATTGGGGTAAGAAGACATCTCCCAATATTCAGATGAACCAGAGGAGGAATCCACACAGACGAAACAGGACTCTGGATTCCAGAGATGATGGTGAGACTGATCAGACAAGCCAAATCTCTTGACAAATGAATGATGTCTTTCTAAGAACTAAAGGGAAATTTGTCATTTCAATTCGGCTAGCCATTCAACAGGAAGGACCTGATCATACAATATTTGGGGACAAGAAGCTGCAGCATCGAATTTTGCTAAGAGGGCACGTGAGGGTGTTGTTTCATCTTTTATGATGTCCGTGAGCCAAAATGGACTGAGGTGGGTTATCAGTAGATAAATGGACAGGCGGGTGCGTTTTAAATAAGGGGACAGATTGGAAGGCAACTGATGATGGAGAGATGAAACAGGTCATTGGACTGATCATTCTAATTGGCACTTATACATCTAAAAATGAAAATGTTTTGCAGTTATGAAACAAACAAGATGGTCTTACTCTCTTCAACAAAATTGTGAACCTTCAAATTTTTCAAAAGTATGTGCTGTGATAATGCTGGTGGAGAGGGAAGGCCCAGAAGGCAGAGGGGTCCAAACAAGAGGGCAGGATGGCTTCCGGAAAGGGATAGTGTCTAGGTATGGCTGGTGGAGAAAAGTGAGGTTGGGGCGGTCTCCACCCCAGGTGCAGGAGGGTGAGGTCTCCAGACAGAGAAAGGAGCCCCTCCAAATGGGCAGCCTGGGGTCATGTCTCTGCCTACCACCCATCACCTGGGTCCTTCATCTGGAAAGTCACGTGATAAGGCCTCCCTGTAGAGTATTAAAGGATATGTCTTCTCGAAGCAAAGGCATGGAGTCTGGCCATGGGAGGGCTTCTAAGGCCATGGCCTTCTAAAGCAAATGTCTGAGCTGGGGTCACTGAGCTATCTCCACCAGATCCTCGGAAGCCACGCTGGGTCACCTCCTTTCCATCCATTCTCTACTCTAGGGCTGCTGAAGGGTCTTCCTGCAGCTCAGTGTGACCCCGTCCCTCCACAGCATAAAACCCTCTCCTTTCTGCTGGTAAAGGATGGACTTCTCTGCCTGGCTCCCCAGCCCCTTCTCAGCAGGCCCGCCTGCCTCTCCAGGGCCCCCTCCCACCACGCCCCATGGCACATGCCACTTCTGCACATGCATCCTCTCCCCATTTCCTGAATGTGCTCCACACTCCCACCTCTGAGGTGTTGTAAACACTCTTCTCTGGCCTCGAACCACCATCTGGCAGCCTGCACCTGACAAACTCCTACTCACACCTCAAGATCCAACTCAAATGTCCCACTTTTCCTGTGCAACCTCAAGCAGGCTTAGCTGCTCCTATCTCTGAGGCACTTCAGACATGCTTTCATTTCATGGTAGCTCTTTATTTTTGTACCTGTTCCACATTCAACCATGAGTCCCTCAAAGGGAGTCTTTCCTCATCTTTGCAGCACCTCGCCCTGGGGCAACAGCTCATCAGGGGCAGACCCTCAGCAAATATTTCATGATCGAAGGAATGAATACAAATAAGAAGGCTGAGTCATTTGAATGGGAAGATTGCGCTTTGTGCTTGAAATTTTCTAAGTTCATTCCGCATACATTCTCCAGAAAACTCTTTCTGAGGGATATTTTTGTATTGTTTTAATGCTAAGCAATCAAGTCTCATATTAAAGCTCCTCCGAACTTGAGCAATTGGAAGCAGGTGTCCAATTCACGTGTTATGTGATCATCTCACTTAGAAAGAGACCGCAGTTGTTTTCTTTCTGGCTGGCTTTTCTTAAAGTACAGGCAAAATAAAACCAGCGAATTCAGAGAGAAAAACTGAAGAACGATATCTGAGGGCCTCTACAGCCTCGCCAAGTATCGCGTAATCTGGCTCAGTAATGGTGCCTTCTGGGGATTCTCAGCTCCAGGGAGCTCCCCAGCCTGGCGAAAGAATAGGGTAAAACAGCCGAGCAAATGTTACTACCATGCAGAGAACACATCTCTGTATTATCATAGTGGATGGTAGGGTTAAAAAAATAGTAATATTATACTTATAATAATTGGTCAAGGAGAGGCTGAAGGGCTATTTCATTCATGCCTGTTGGCACTCAACAGATCTCAATGGGGTAGATGGTATTGGTATTGCTGTTACTGCTTAAAGGGGTGTAGGCTCTTACTGAGAGAAATGGAGGAGGCAAATGTGGTCCAGCTGATCCACAGGCTCGCCTCCTCGCTGTGAGGGAGGCTGGCATGGGAGCTATGAGGGAGGAATAGACAGATGTCAGGGGTGGAGCACTGCCTAGGAAAGAGCTGTAGCGGGGGGTCCTTGTATCTCCCCAAACAGTTGGCCCGGCCGACCCTAAATTTATAGAAAGTAAAAGATGTACCCTCGACCCTTGAACAACATGGGGGTTAGGAGCGCCAATCCCCACACAGTCAAGAATCCCCATATAACTTTTGACACCCCCCCCAAAATTAACTAGTAGTAGCCTACTGTTGACTGGAAGCCTTATGGTAACACAATCAGTTAACCCGTATTTCGAATGTTATGTGTATAATATACTGTGTTCTTACTACAAAGCAAGCAAGGGAAGGGGACATGTTAAGAAAATCATAAGGAAGAGAAAACACAGTTACAAGACTATACTGTATTTACCCCCCCCCCCCCATCCACATAGAAGTCAAGCTGCTGAGTTGAAGCACCCTGCGGTTATTCAAGGGCCCACTGTGGATGTATGGGTTTCCATTCATAGAACAAAGCCTGGCGTGATACTCAGTGTCCATCAATTACCAGAAGGTGTTTTCTGGTTCCCCGAGCCACATGATTGTCAAGGCTGACATGTTAGTGCCTGGACCAGTGTTCTCTGGACAAGCGTTAGAGTGCACACAGCTCAAAGGGCAGGTGCCAACCGGTCTCACGAGGCCCGGCTGCACCCAGGTACCTCTGACCCCAGCTTTACAAAAGAAAAGACTGTATAAGGACTTATGGTAGTTGTGTGCTCGGAAAGAAGAATGGCATGATTCACAGAGACATGGAGAAATGACGCTCACTGTGGCTACATCACATTGTACCTTCTAATCTGTACCTGCGCCTTTTAGCCTTTCTGCATCAAAGGCATAGTTCTTGTGTAGTTTTTCTTGAGCCACAAAAAAAAAAAAAAAAAAAAGATAAAACAATTCCGTTCCTCCCGCTCCTCTGTGGGCATGGCGGGAGCACCGGACCCACGCAGGCAAAGGGGCCTGGCCATGCTGCGCTCTTACCTGATGAGTCTTTGAGGCGCGTCGTCTGTTCTGAAAGATGTCTTCTCACACAGATTTCGAAATTCCCGAAAATTTAGTGTGACGCTGAGTCTCAAGCCAAGAAGGCTCAGGAAGCGCTCAAACTCGTTGTCTTTAAGATTGAACAGTAAGAGCAGTAGCAATCTGTGGATATCACGCATGTTGATTATGCCATCCCTGTCAGTGTCTATTTTAAAGAAGGCAGAGTAGGGGTCCTAAAAACAAAATGCAAGCGTCAAAGCACTTCCTCCTAAACCCTGACCACAACACGCTTCCCACCCCGTGGACGGGCTCCTCTCCAGAGCGGGGAAGGGGCGGTGTTCCCGTGACTGCCTGTTGAACATTCCCCTCCTCCGGGAATATCCTTGCTGTGATGTGCTTTTCCCAAGGAAAGGTACGCCACCTCGTCCCGTGCCCTCCTTTACTGCAGAGAGTCAGGGACAGGGTCAAGAAAGGCTTTTCCCTTTCCCTTCCACTCTCTGCGTTTATGGCAGGAGGCTGCTGGAGCTTTCCAGGACAGATAAAAATCTTGCCCTCGACATTTCTATAGAAGCTTCATGATGTGTGGCAACTTATATCTACAGGAAAACAAGTGTGGTTCCGAATGTCACCCCAAGGGACCATCTAGGGGCCAGAACCCGGTTTCTGGTGACAGTGTTGAGGAGCCAGCCCTGTCTGCTGAGCCGGAGGGACTTTGCACGGGTGCCCCTGCTTCGTCGGTGATGCCACATGAGGGCACTGCCATTCCCATCTCGCAGATGAGGAGATGGAGGCTGGGAGGGAGCCTGTGACTTAGAGGCCATGCAGCACCATCGAGGGCCACTCTGCAGGCAGTTGCAAATCCCAGCCCTGCCCCTTAATACTGGCGAGACCTTAAGCAAGATATTTAGCCTGGCTGTACCTCCATTTTCTCATCTGTAAAACGGGGATTATGAAAGTCCCTCTTTCCAGGGCTGGCTGTGAGGGTGAATACACTAGTGTATACCAATCACCTGGCATGTTTTCTCAGTGCCCTAACATGTTATTTGTTACTATTACTGTTGCCTGGAGCCATATAGCAGGTGCCTGGCACCGGGGCTTTGGACGGGCTCTGCCTGGGCCATTCCCCCGTATGTACTTCCAGGGTCTCAGGATAGAAAAGTGGCTGATGTGGCTCCAGCTCCCCTCGTCTCCATCAGTACCCAACGAATAAACCCTGGGGAGGTTTATGTGGTGACTCTGGAGGTGCTGCACTCAGACCTTCATGTCCCGGGATCTGCTGTAAGAGATTGTTTATAGCAAAGCAAGACCTCAAGTGCTTAATTAAGATGTTTTGGTGGAAAGATGTGTTTTCCTTCACTCGTTCATTCACTCAGCATCTGATTAACATGCAGTCACTGTGCTAAACAGAGAGGAGCCCACGGAAAATGCCGCCCCTGCCTCCCAGGTGCCTCCCAGGGCCACCGCCGTCCAGCAGGCTCCTGTGTCATGGCCTGGCGGCCTCTAGGCTAGCAGCGCCACTGGTGGGGACTTGCTGGGGGCTGGAGGCCACCTCCAGGCCCTCCCCCGCCCTCTGTGCTCCCATCCGCGGCCGAGCTGGGGCATCTCTTCTGGGATTTCAAACCAAACGGGCCCCAGGCCACACCCCTGACCCCCAAGGGCTTGTGCACACAGCCGTTGTCTCTCCCTTCAGAGCTTCAGCTCCATCCCACTGCCTCTACGCAGATTCCACAGGAGGCTCACACGAGCTGGCAGCCCCTGCCCCTGAGCCACCACAGCGCAAGTCAGTGCCCGTCACTCCTCTGCTCGCCCCGCTGGCTCTCCGCCACACGCAGAGTCTGGCCCCAAATGCTGCCATGGTCCCCAAGCCCCGTGAGCCGTCTGCCCTCACTCCTCTCTCCTCTGCCCTGTGCTGTCCTGCCTCGGGCGGCTCCGGAACGCCCCCCTCCCCAGCACCTGCACCCCTCTGTGTGTCTGCCCCAACGTCACCCCTCAGGGAATATTCTCGACCCTCTCTGTACATGCCACCACCTGACGAGCTGGCCATGTGTGCCTTCGCTGTCTGGTCCCTTTCTGGAAGGTGAACACGTGACCTGGGCTCAGGTCTGCCCTTTGTTGTACTTCCAGCTCAGAGCAGTGCTTAAGAAACACCTGCAGGAACAGAGCTGGTGGGTACGGAGAGGGAGCATTTCCTGGGTGCCTACCGTGTGCCGGGCGCTGTGCTGGGCACCAAACCACCAGGGGGCTACAGCCTGGTCCCCGACATGAAGGTTCTCACACTCTACTGGGGAAGAAAGGCCTGTCTGCCAGTGTAACGGCACATCAGTGTGGCAGGTGCGGGAAGACAGCTGTGAAGGCCATGGTCGCTGTCAGCCCGGGCTGCCGGACGGCAGGTGCAGTCCAGATGCCATGGACTCCACGTTTATGATCCTCACAAACGTAAAAACCTTCATCATGGCCCTCATCTTGGTCTTCTGCCTCCCGGAATGAAGACCCCTAATTTTACTGGAGTCAAGTAGATGTTTCAATTCCTGGTACAACCTCTATGAGACATGTGGCTTTGGGTAAGTTTCTATGCCATCTCAGACCCTCAGTTTCTCCATCTGTGAAATGGGAACACGAACGCCTACCTGATAGGCTACCGTGAGGGTTTAAACAAAGGAGGCCATGGATGTAATCCCTCCGCTTCACCGCCTGCGTGTAATGTGAAGTCTCTTATTCACTCGGCAAATACACGGTGATCACCTATTACGTGGCAGCCACTGTGGTGGCCGTTTGAGTTACCGTGGACAATTTGGGAACAACTCAGCCCTAAGGTCTCCTAGGATCACAAGTCCACACACACTTGTACTAGAGGGGGTCGGGCTGGCAGCAGATCTCCCCCCAGATCTGCAGGCGGCTGGAAGGACCGAGTGCTTAAGAAAGACCAGAGCCTGGGTAGGAGTCCACTGACGCAAGGGCCTGGACTGGCAGCCCAGGCAAAGGAACAGAATGTGCAAAGACATGAAGGCAAGGAAGAACACTGGCTGGAGTGTGAAGTGAGGAGTGTCTATACCACAGTCAGGGGAAAAGATGTCCCTTAGTGGGTCATGATGAATTACGTCCTCAACTCTTCACGGTCTTTGGCCTGAGCTGTGGGTGTGTGGCTAACTCGCCTGGCATTGCCCTTGTCCCTAAACCTCAGCTGAGGGCTGAGACGGCCTCACTTGGCTACAAAATTACCAGGCAAACAACAGCAGTGGCTGTAATAGTGTTTTAAACTTATCCAAGTTGGGTTTTTCATTATTAATGAGGAGAGATACTTGGGAATTTCTTACGAATAGGAACTCAGTAAAATAAGTAAGGTGACTGTCCCTTCTCACTCAAAAATCAAGGCACACATCATGTCTCATGACTATACACCTGTGAAGACAACAAGCAAATCCCCAGTGGCCCCAGAAGTAACCCGCCTCCTAGCACAGATCACGTAAACCCTGGCGATTAGAGATTCACTTCTTTGTCTCAACGCTAGATTATAAATTATTGGCAGGACAGAGTGGGTGTCAGTGAATTCTCACTGAATCAGTTCATTAGGTAATTATTTAAAATAAAGGTCATTAGGGAATATGGCACGTGTGTGCGCTGTAACCGAGCCGCACGGGTACCAAAGATAGGAAAACAATGGTGTCAGCACAGAGCTTGGCTCCCTTTATGTCCCCTCGCTGGGAAAGGTGAGCAGAGGAAGCAGGTGGAGGGAGAGGCCAGAGAAAGGAGGCTGGCTGGCAGAGGAATGGGTGAGTTAGTATCCTGGGTAAAGACAGCAGAGGGGTGCTGGCCGTGGGTCCCTCTGGGCCACCCTTGCTCCCAATGCCTCTCTGCTTCCCCTCCTGCCCTCTCGCCCTCCAGCCAGAAAACGGCTCCCACTCCTCTGCACGATCCCTGCCTGCTCGGTGCTCCCTCTGCACAATCCTGGCCTGCTCCGTGCTCCCCTGGGTGGGGCACTAGCTCAGACTGAATGCTGAGGACTAATCCCTCTCCATGTAGGCTCACGGTGACCATACTTTCCCAAACCAAGAACACGGATGCATGGTCCGATGGCGGGACAGAAGGGTCTGAGTGAGAGCCATCCTGCAAACATAAGCTAGACAGTCATCGTCAGTATACTCATTTTTAAATGGGAGCTTGGTAACCAAAATGAATCTAACTGGCAGTCGGTGCAGGGAAGGCCCCCGTCACTCGGGAGCTGGCTCCACCCCTAGGCTGCTCCCTACTCTTCTCATTTGGACTCACCCCCTCCTTGCCAACGTGTTCCTGCACACACTGGGGCCTCCACCCTGCTTTGTAGCTGATCTGGTCGGCTTATTAAACTGATCTTCCCTCCTTCGATTGCTCTCTTTCACTTCTCAACACATAAACAGCTTAGGTCATTGTCCACCTGCCTCTGGGTTTAAATGGCTGCCGTTTCTCCAGTCTTACCCATTATAGCTTCCACATGCAACCCACCTCGGCAATCTGGGAGCTTCTCCCTCACGCCCATGACCTGTCCACCACCTGCCTGGAGCAAGCTCCCTCTTCTTTTGTTTGCTCTTTCCTTCTTCTGGCCAGCACATGCTGGGGGGTTGAGATCCGGTTCAGGGGCCACCTCCTCCAGGAAGTCCTCTTTAGTGGGGTCTTTTCCCTGTGCCCCCGTAGCATGCTGCTGTTCTCCAACAGGCACCCCCGTGTGTCTGAACTATCTGTTTAGCATCTGTGTCTTAGACTGAACCAAGCCCTGTCTTTCATCTCCAGCCTTTAGCAAAAATTCCAGCATATCATAAGTGTCCGCTGAGCAAATGGGTGACATGGACAGGATGGATGAATGCATCCTAAGTTCTCTGTTAACTCGGGCCGCCCTCCCCATCCCCTCCATATTTCTCCAAGGTCTTTGAGAGGCAGTGAGGAAGGACCTCAGAGGTCTTTGAGAAAAGCAGCAGTGAGGAAGGACCTCAGGGAACAGGAGGGGTTGCAGAATTAAGCCTGAGCCCCCTCCCCAGGAAGGGGAGAAGGGGTGAACCTGAGTCTATGGAGAGAGGCGCTGTGTCCCGTGATGAACGGCGCATGATGGGGTTCCAGGAGGCCCGGCCAGCATGGCTGAATGGCTGGGAGCCAAGTGGGGTGGGGGGGGTGTCCAGATAAGCCAAGCAGTAGACGGGTCATAATTTACCCGGAAGGCTTCCTTCAGTCTCTGCGGGAAGTGCTTCAGGCATTCTTCTGCGGTTATAAAGTAGCTGTCCACGTTACTCTTGGAAAGAACCGGAGTCTGCGATGGAGCCACTCCTGGCCCCTTCATTTTACTGTCTGAAACAATGACATGAACAACAAGACTTCCATTAGTGGCGCATACACCTCTTTATTTCTATTTCAGCGCTGGATTTCCTCTTGTGCCACATCCCTACGGGCTACTTGATGGCAATGAACCTCTGTGAAGCAAACGTAGCATTCGCTTTGTTATGATCTGGTTTCTTTTCCTGAGGGTTCTTAGACATTCTATCCTTGCAAGAAGAACTTGCTCTCTAGACTGTGGGGCCATGCTCCGGACCAGCGCACGGACACCATGCCTTGCATGCTCCCTTGTCTTCCTGCCCCATCCTTCCTACGGGACAGGACTATATCTTGCTCATCTCTCCATTCTCAGGGGCCGAGAATGAGAATTCCCTGCCTGGCTCTGGTTCCTAGAATCATGTCCTAAACAGAGCAATGTGGAAGTCAGTCAGCATTTGTTAACTTCCCGGGCGTTTCTGGACCACATATCTGCTGGACACCGTATGAGGAGACTTCGGGTCCTTCCAACAAACAACCTTAAGAGGTAGAGTCTCTTCTTGTGCCTCGTTGATATGCAGGGAAATCTATTATTACGTCCATTTTACATATGAGGAGATGGAGGCTCGGGGGATCCCTTGACTTCCCAAGGTCACAGAGTTCATAGATAGCAACACTGAACCATGGCCCGTCAGGTTCCAGGGCCCAGCAGCTGAATTAGGGGGTTATACCCTCTCCCCCTTGCAATGGAGGAAGACACGGTAATCTCTACTTTAAAACCGACCCATTTCCATCAGGCTGGGACAACTGAAGTGTGGCCTTGCTTAAAGCCAGGCTGTAAACCTGGGGCTCGGTTGTGGATGTGGTTCTCTGCACGTGCTACGCCCATCCGCTGATGAGGTCTGCAGACAGAGGGTGGGCGGAGTCTGCGGGACAGAGGGTGGGCAGAGCACCTAGAGCTCGTATGGTCCAGTCTTGAACCTGGCTTCCACCTCGCCTCCCCCTGGGCCTGGAGCGGCCTCCCTCAGCCTCACTACACCTGGCAGGAAACACTTCCTCTGCTGCTGACCTCGCCCTCCGCCACGCCCACCCCCGCCAGCATCTGGCTCTGCGGGGAGACAGGCAGTGGTGACAGATGCCGGTGGGGGGTGGGGGAGGAGGAAAGTGGGAGGAAGGAACAGGGGCAGGGAGGAAGCCAAGAGCAGTCCGTGACTACTGAGTCACATTCCCACCCAGCAACTGACTCACTGCTCTGAGACCTCGGGCAAGTGCCTGCCTCACCCTGCACCCCAATTTCCTCACCTGAAAAGGAAGTTCACCTGGCATACTGGGGGCACTAAAAAAGTGTGAGTTCCTTTTCCTTCTTTTTATCTTCCTTTAAACATGTCAAAACATTTACCCAAAGGGGTCAAAATATTAAATTCTATGGCTTCTCAAATTGCCGGTTTCTCATGTGACCTCTGTCCCCTCGGACGGGACTGCTAACTGATAGTGTACATGGCCAGATGGTTGACCTCATCTTCCTGGCGAGGAGTCCGGCGGCCAGTCTCTCTCGGGGACACCCCCGCACCACCCTGTCACCTCCCAGGCCCGACGCGGGTAAGAGGACAAAATGCAAACAGGCGTCCGGGTTCTGCCCTGTCCAGCCTGCGCTACATCTGCACCCAAAAAGGCAGTATATTCTGTCACCGTATTTGTGGGATTCCTGTGGCCTTTCCAGAGGGCTTCTCTGTCCAGGTAAACTTTGGCAGGAGGGGATGCGAGGGGCAGGATGACACAGCTGCCCGTCACCTCTCTGCCAGGTGTGTGGACCGGGCAGCAGAATCTCGGCAGAGGCCACACAGGAGGACCCAGCCTCCCAGCCTGACTGCTGTGCACAGGACGGGTCTCCTGGCAACTGCTCGCGGCAGGGACAGGGGAGGGGACGTGGCCCAGTGATCTGGGCACGTCCTGCACCCTCTCAGGATCTCTGTGTCAGGGTCTCTGTGGCATCAGCTACCGACAGGAAGGAGGAACGCTCCCCGTGCTGATGCCCGGGTGCCACTAATTACAGAGAGGCAGCATCTATTTTTAGGAGGAAAATCTTAAAGGACATGAAGCGTGATTGAAGAGCATAGGCTTCAGAGAAAATTTTAGAAACCATTTGTGCTCTAAGTTTGTCCAAGGCTCTGTGAGGCAAAATTCTGCACTCACAGTTTGGTTTAGTGCAAAGCAAAAGGCCGAAACACAGTCAGATAAAATTAAACAGAAATGTGTGTTTCCAGTCTTAGAACACACACTGTTTCACATCTCGGCTCACACGACTCCACCCCAGCAGCCCCGCGGCCCTGCTCGGCTCGACGCCATCGCTGCCGGTGGGAAACGCCTCCCGGCAGGGCCCCTGCTGGCGATCAGCTACCTTCAAATCCTGCTGCAAAATCCAGGTAACTCATCCCTTCTTTCTTATATCCTAGTTTTGCAGTGAGCAGAGCATACTGGTCATTGTCCATGGGCATTCCACTCTTTTCCAGTACCTGGCAAGGAAGAAAGCGAGGAGAGGCGGTTAGGTGGTCCCGACCGAACCCCTCCAGACCCGCAGCGGGCTCAGCACCATGGCCTCCGTGCCCCGGCCTCTGATTGTTATGTGTCTGTCTCCACCCACAGGCTCCCTGCGGGCGGGGCCAGGTATCCTGGCTCCCTGGCCCAGTGCAAGATTTGTTTGTTGAACAAGTGAGTGAACAAAGGAGTAAGCGCACTCCCAGCCCTGGGCCCAGTGGGCATGGCCCCGGAGCGCTGCAGTCAGCACTGCAGACCTCTCCAAAGGCCATGCTGTCCAAGATATCCAAACTCGCATCTGCTGTGACTGCGGTGGTTTCGGGTCTCATTAGTTAGATTTATATTCACATATAACTTAGGAAACAGGAACAAAATAAAGGTGGCTGCATTCTGTGGAGAAACCTGAAGGAGGAAAGGAATAGGGGATGGGATGAAGCAGTACTCCTCCTCCTCACCATCACCACCATCACCATCATCACCATCACCATCATCATCAGTATCATTGTCAATATCACCACCATCATCACCATCGCCACCACCACCATCACCATCATCACCATCACCATAATCATCACTGTTACCACCACCATCATCAATATCACCACCATCACCATCGCCACCATCACCACCATCACCATCGTCATCATGCTTATTGCCTGCTACATGCCAGGACTGTGCTGAGGTCTTTACAGATACAGAAATTTCTGCCCCGGCCTCTTCAGACTGGAGCGGCAGAACGTAAACCCACTTGGCTGCAGCAGGGTATCTACAACGTGTGCGTAGTGCTTGGTTCCTTCTGTTTGGGTGCCGTCCTTCTTGGTGTGTGGGGCTGGGACCCAGGGAGCTGGCACTTTCGCCTTGTTCTTATTCTCACTATCAACGTCAGTAATGAACGGGATGTGACCGTGGCTCGCTGTACCTGTACCAGCCCAGTTGGTCCGGCCATGGCCTTGGCTCAGCTTGTGTGTGTGAGTTAAAGTAAACAAGCCACAGGCTGTATCTGGTGCAGGATTGGAAGCGGAGCGAAAAGGGAAGGGAATGCAGGTGTTGTGGTATTGTCTGCAGGGGCTCAGTGGAGAGCAGCGCTGGATGCCAAGACTGTCCCCGAAGGCCTGCCTGGGGACCTGGGCAGGCAGCGCTGGCTGGGAATTCTGACAGCTCTGCGCCGTCTGCACAAGCGCCCTGTCCCAGCTCCATGGGGGAGCCCGGCCCAGCGCGGGACGGCACGAGTGTTTCGATGGAAAGCTGCGGCCCACGCAGAAGCACCCGAGCGGCTGGGGGACTCTGAGATGGATAGATTGGTTGCTTTCTTTGAAAAATAACTTTATATTTTGAAAACAATTACACATGAATTATTCATTGCAAATTCCTCCTGCTCAGTCCTTTCATAAAAACATATGTAGCGGATAGTAAGGAAATGTCTGTAGGCAAATGTTTCGCAGCCTGGAGGCTTGTGAGGCACCGGGAGGCTGGGCACGCCTCCGGCAGCCTGTCCAGGGGTTGCAGGCGTGCCATCCCCTACGGGCACGGGGCATCACAGAAGACGCAAAGCCCAGAGGGTGTGATCACTGGAAGAGGCACTCAGCGCTTTACAAACATGCATGTCTGTAGAGCCTCCCTTTGCTCACTCTCATTTCTGGGATGAAGGCAGCAGCAAGTCAGCTGCATTTATCCTGACCCTTGGAGGCAATTTACCATACAGCATAAGCCCAAACTGCAGCCTCTATGAAGCAGATTTCAAAACGCTTAACTATTCAAGCCAAGTCCTTTGGTCTTTTCTAGGAGGCATTTCCTGAAGTGAGTTCTTCAAAAAGGGACAAGCCACGGGCTGGCACATTCTGATTCATAGAAGGGGTTGTCACTTCTGCTGCCCCTGGGATGTTCCTTAGATCACAGCCACATGAGGCTGCACCGTTCCATGGGAACGGTAAGGATGGGTGTTCCCGGCAAGTGCCCATGAGAAGCCGGGTGAGTGACTTGGTCTCTCCAAGTCCGGCCACTGCAGAGCATCTGGGGACATAGCAGCCACCAGTCTCTCTGTGAGTAACGCTTGCTGTGGCTCCCTGCACCCTCTTCTTGGTGGTTGCTCTGGGGACTATGATACATACCCTCAACTTTTCACAGTCTATTTGGAGCTCATAGCAAACCACCTCACCTAAAATGAAGAACTCTTGCAACCAGATAGGCGCCCCCCCCGTCCCCATCCTCTGAGCTACAGGTCTACATATATTATCAACCCAAGATAATGTTACAATGTTTGCTTTCAGCACTCAGGTCCATTTTGTTTTTAATTAGGAAAAAAGCAGGCTTCTATATTTCATCAGCTATGAACCATTTCCAACATTCCTTATTCCTTCCTGGCAATCGGGGCTCCACCTCGTATCAAACTCCTTCAGCCTGAAGGGCTTCGTTCAGCATTTCTTACAGCCAGGATCTGCCTGCAGTGAATCACCATAGTGGGGAGCGGCTCAGAGAAAAGCCCCTGGCATGAGCGCATGCTGGTGGTAGCTGTTCCAGAGATAGCAGCTCAGGCAGGCGAGCATCTGGAACAGACTGGGCTCTGACAGTCTGACAACAAGGGCCAGAGCTGGCCTTACAACCCTACATGTGTCTCCCTGACTCCAGGTAGTAATGGAAGCGTCACAGTCGTCATCGAGAAAGAGAATCTGACTGAAGATCTACTAGGTGCTGGCCACTGTTCCAAGTGACTTTCGCACGTTGTCTTCTTTAAACTGCACAGGGCTCCATCTCACAAATGAGGAGGTTGAAGCTTGGGAAGAAGGCTCAATAAGCCATCTGTTTCCTGAAAAGACACAGCTACAAGCGACAGAGCAAAGGTGTGACCCGACACCTCTGGATGGCACTGCCTTGCGAATCAGCACCGGGAGAGCCTGGACAGCGTCGGCTTCGGCCTGGTCTTTTATAGATGGGGAGACAGGAGCCCAGGGATACGTGCGGGGGGTGGGGGAGAGATAGTGTGCAGACGCTCCAGTAACTCCACTGGGGATTACTGCCCAGTGACAACCACCCAGTGCTGGCGATTGAGTCTGGATTCACAGTTGAGGCTTCTGGCTCTATAATTAATGAGCAATGGTGGTTTCTGCTGCGCAGCCACATGCTGGGAAGTGTGTCACTCCCCGTTCAAATGACACAGCTTGGGCAGTCTATAGAGGACAGCACTGGGGCTGGATTTGAGTGTCCCCCAGCTTTGATGCAGTACCTGTTTGGAACAGGGTAGGGACAGGGACTCTGTGCCAGCTTCTGCATGACAGACTGTCCAAAGCCCATAGCTGACAAAAAAACAAGCATTTATTCTCACACTTGTGGATCTACAGGTCAAGTGCAGTTTGGCGGATGTAAGATGGATTTGATTCAGGCTGTGGGTCGACTGGCTTGGCATCAGGCTGTAGGTTGGGTTTTGACCTGTTCCATGTGCATTCACTCTGCGGATGAAACTGAAGGGACAACAGCCGCCCTGGGCAGGCCCTTTGACTGGTAGATTGCGGGAGCCCAAGTCCAAGCAGAAGCACACAGCAGATCTAAGGCTCTGGCTCAGGTCACATCAGCTGCACCCCAGGTCAAAGAAAGCCACACGATCAAGCCCAACATCCCTGGGTAAGGGAAGCGTCCCCTGAGATGGTGAACAACAGAGGAGCTGGGGTGAAGAGAGGGTAATGACAGGTGCACAAGCTCTGAGGGCCTTTCCATCTCTTTACATCTATGAAATTCTATAAATTTGGTGGCAATGCCATGACCACCAGAAACATGCCATGATCACAATCTGACCACATCCCTGGTCGAGAAATTTCTAGTCCATAGGCTAGATGTGTCTGGTCCACTTGATCTAATTCTACCCAATCCTTTAGTGATGGGACTGCACCACTTTTTCAAAAACAATCCTTCCTCCAACCTAGTGCCCATCAGTGGACCTTCAAGACAGAGCAACGGTTTGTCGACAGGGACGCCGAGTTATAAAACAGTGGCTTTTCTTTTCTCTTTTGCTGCAGGCATGATGATCATAATGATGATTTGGTTCAGATTTTTTTAGAATGTATCATCCCCATAGAATCCAATAAGACTAAAACTGTGTCCCAATGGCTCAGAAGGACAAAATGCTGAACTAAAACGAAACTTCGAAAACTGTGAAATGAAACAGCCTCAGTTTGAGAATAAAAGATAAAGTGATCTGATCGGTTTTCAACGTCGAGGGGAATTCCAGGCGTAACAAGTAAATCAACCAGACATCTACTTCTAGAGGGAAATATCCAGAACCTGGCTCAGTTTTGGACACATGTAAAATTTTAGTGTGTTCTGTGAGCGGATGAGTAAAAGACTAAAGATAAGAGCAGACAAGCCCCTCCTCTTCCAGAGGAGGCTGTTCTCAGGCCCCAGGGCCTGATCTTTTATCCAAAGGTGGAGTCAAGCTGCGAGGCCCAGAGCTGAGGGCCCAGTCAACTGCAGGGAGCAGAGCTGACCCTCAATGGCCACATCCTTTAGGCAACGACAGGCTCACTGTTCTCCCCTTTTATATGTCCTGTTATGTTCTCTCTCCATGATTCCAAAGCAGATACATTTCTAACATATAAATTGAATGTAAGTCCAATTGTGATCATAATAATGCATTTGGGGGATAAATGGATAAAATTTATATGGAAAATATAAACATAGCCTCAGAATAGCCCAGAAAATATAAAAAGGAAGAAAAAGGAGGGAAAATCAGTTTCACTAAAATTTAAAAAAACCCATATTGCATTCCTACAGAAGAGATGTATAGAGCAGTGTCACAAAACAGAAATTTCCAGACTTAGACGCTAGTATAATGAGAATTTCACAAGTGACAATCCAGTGGGAAAATACAGAAGAGCCCCCATCTTACATCACATACAAAAATTAATTCCATGTAGATCAAGCATTTCATTAAAAAATAAAATGTAAAAATTCTTGTAAGAAAGTCTAGGAGATTATCTATAAAATATGG